TCCATGATTCCTGGTTTTATAGCCTGCAACAGCTTGAAAGAGTAGTGAAAAATAATAGCATCTGTACTTTGCTGGTGTAATGAATAAAGCTAAAAGTTGAAAAGTTTAAAAACAAGAATAAGGTAAAGAAAAAGGAAGGAATAACAAGGTTACAAGTTATGCTAATTGCTAAAGGAAAGAAACATTTTTGTCGTTGAATCTAAATCCAAGCCAATATGAAAAAGATACATTAGAAACGTCTGAATTTCATGTTGAAGAGTCACGCTGAGATGTCATTTAAGATATGCTGATACCTAAACATAAGTTGCAAAAGTTTTTAAATTATTATTATTTTTTATTGAGATATCCCTTTAATACAATAGAATTTCTCTCCAAACTATAAGAACAAAACTTTTTTCAATCAATCCATAGAGTTAATTTTTAGCAGTTTCAGTTATTGGAAGGGAAATGACATTCCAAGGGACACGGATAATATCACGTGTCAAGAATTACTTGATGTTATTAACAAAGTAATTTGCTGCAGTAGCTTTTTGTTTAATTCCAGTTTTCTAGATATATTCTCCATGAATCACCCCATTAGAAAAAAAAAATGGCTAGTCATATTTAAGGAGATTTAGGATGTGTTTGGAATTATGGTTGGGAGCTTTTTTTTTGTAGCCATACAGTATTTTTATATATGTGTATGGTAATTTTTTTTTGGACTAAGTACTTTTTTCAAAAGTTACAAAGAACTATAACAGATTTACAATAATTTTATATATAAAATCAAAAATCTCATTTTTGACCTTTCTAGTTGTGACTTCATGGATAACACTTAATATTTAATACAATTACAAAATTATTCATCAAAACTCAATCTCATTTAATTCAATTATATGATAATTTATAATATTTTATTTAAACTTAACCTCTCGTTTATTTGATGATTTCATAAAAAATTAAAAAGTCATTCTCTCTTTATGAGTTGCTCTCCCATGAAACCCAAAAAAACACTCCAGAAGAACCTAAAAAACTTAAATTATTAAAAAGTAGTAAATGTTCTATATTATATATATATATTTTAAATTT